GAGGAGCGCAGCACCAGGCTCAAGGACCTGCTCAGCCGCTACTTTGAGGAAGTGGAAGAGGAAGCACAGGGGCCTGGGGGCATGGGGGACACACAGGGTCCCGCGCCAGGGCAGGCCAGGGTGAGTACTGTGAGGCCAGGCAGGGACATGTAGGCACACCAGAGCTGCAGGTTCCCTGGGCCACATGGGGCTTGCTGTGTGGACATGGTGCCCCAGGAGAGGAAGCCTGAGGTGCCTGTCCACGCACAGCTCCAGGATTGGGAGGACCAGGTCCGCTGCGACATCCGCCAGCTCCTATCCCTGAGACCAGAGGAGAAGTTCTCCGGCAGGGCTGTGGCCCGTATCTTTCACGGCATCGGTGAGGAGTGGGGGGCTCCACCCGATAACAGGCCAGGGGTGGGGACCAGGGCCAGGATGGTCCTCATGACTGTGTCTTGGCTCCACCATAGGAAGTCCCTGCTACCCAGCCCAGGTGTTCGGGCAGGACCGGCGCTTCTGGAGAAAGTACCTGCACCTGAGCTTCCACACCCTGGTGCGCCTGGCCACAGAAGAGCTTCTGCAGGTGGGCCGCTCACTGCACCACATGGAGGATGTCGCGCAGAGCTGGGATTGTCAGCAGCAAGGACAATGACTGAAGCCCTGGGCAAAACCTGCCACGGGGAGTGGGGTGGGACGAGGAGGCTCAAAAAGCAAAGTAAAAAGTACTCACCCTTTTTTTTTTTTTTTTTGAGATGGAGTCTTGCTCTGTAGCCCAGGCTGAAGTGCAGTGGCGCAATCTCAGCTCACTGCAACCTTGGCCTTCCAGGTTTTGGTTCAAGCAGTTCTCCTACCTCAGTCTCACAAGTAGCTGGGATTACAGGCACAAGCCACCACACCCAGCTGCTTACATTGTTTTAATGGGTCCTCCTGTCCAATGACGCAGCCCCCACAGCCTGGGGACACGCACATTACATATTCCAGGCAAAGAGACATCTGGGTCACAAGCACGTGGTTTTATTGAGCTGTCCAGCCGCCCAGCTCAGAGCAAGGTGCTGGGTGCTAGGCCCAGGTTCAGAAGGGGCAGGGCAGAGAGGATGAGTAGGAGGGAGAAGCAGGAATGTGGCCCTAGCCCGTCGACCAGGGCTCCAGCCAGAGCACCCAGCAGCAGCTTCCCCAGCAGCTCCAGAGTGGCCAGAAGGCTGTAATGTGTGGCCTAAGGGTGTGGAGGTCAGGGTCAGGCCCACGCACTCCCAGTCCTGCAGTCCCTCTGTGTCCTTACTACGTATGCTCACCTGCAGGGCCCTGGGGGCCAGCTGGCTGCAGCGCATCATCCCAGTGAAGGTGGCTGTGGTGACCAGGCCTCCCAAGAAGTGCTGCAGACATAGGCTCAGCAAGGCTGCCCCTGGGAGAGCAGAGGTCAGCAGTGCCCCAGGCTCCTGGCCCCTCTCTTCCTCCCCAAGACCAGCCCCTCACCTCTCAAGATTGTGCCAGGGCCCAAGCTGGCACCTAGGGCATCCAGGTGGAAGAGCAAGGCAGTCTGGCAGGCCAAGCCCCCGAGGCGGAGCCACAACACCGACTTCAACAGAGGCAGCAGCTCCCTGGGGTGGGGGTGAGGAAATTGAGCACTTTAGGGGATCAGGGGCAGATTGGATACAAGTGGGTGGGTGGGGCACACGGGGGAGGGCTCACCAGTGCTTGGCCAGCAATGTCCCACCCAGGGAGGAGCCAGCAATGGAGCACACCATGGCACCCACACCATTCCACAGTCCCAGCTCGGGGGCAGAAATGCCGTGGTCCAGCAGGAGAAGGGGAAACAGGCTGCTGGCACCCTGCTCACCTGGGGTAGGGAGGTGAGCTATAAGCAGGGGAGGTCCCATATCTACCTCTTTTCCCACTAAGGCCTCAGTCCTGTCCTGCCTTCAGTGTTCCTGAGCTGCAGGTGCTGGAGAAGTGGAGCCGCCCGAGAGAGACCTCAGGGCTGTGGCTAGAGCTGGGGGAGGACACGACGCAAGGTCTAGCTGTAGAGCCCCGATGTCAGGGCCAGGTCGTATAGGTCATACCCCAGAAAGAGCGTGGCCCTGCAGTGGGTTGCAAGCCCCCGGAGACACCTCGGGCTGTCTGGGAAGCCCCACCTGTGCTGTTGCGTGGCTCCAGGCCTCACTCACCCAGCTTGTAGGTGAGCACAAAGCCTGCAGTCCACAAAGTCCCCGGCACGGCCAGCACGTCCCGCATTAGGTGCATGGTGTGGGGACGCTGCTCAGAGGGGGGCGGCCGTGGGAGCTGCCGCAGGGCTGGTGCAGCCCAGGCCAGGGCCGCGGCCAGCCAGTAGGTGGCAGCCAGGAGCAGAAAGAGCCGCGTCCACGAGAGGGTGGGCAGGAGCGCCAGCAGCGCTCCCCCAGCTAGCGCGGCCCCCAGCTTGTACGCGACTACCTGCACGGTATTGCCCGGCCCCAGCTCTGCCGGCTCTAGCAACTGCACGGCCAGCGCGTCCAGGGCCACATCCTGCACGGCGGCACCCAGGTTCAGCAGCAGCAGCAGCCCCGCCACAGCGGCGGGCAGCCCGGCCTGGCCAGCTCCAGGCGGGGGCAGCCCGGCCAGCACCCCACACACCAGCCCCAGGCCTGCTGTGCTGCGCGTCAGCCAGGCCCTCGTCGAGCCCCGCGCGTCCACCAGCGGGGCCCACGCCAGCTTGAGCAGCCACGGAGCATAAAGAGCCTTGGCCAGCCCCACGCGCGTCAGAGAGAAGCCGCGGGCGCGCAGCAGCAGGGGCAGGAGGCCGGACTGGAGCCCGTAGGGCAGGCCCTGCACCAAGTAGAGGCCGGCCAGCGGCAGCAGCTTCCCGCGCATGGCGGCTCAGGCCGGTTGCGAGGCCGGGAGGTCGAGTTCCAGGTGGGGTTCCGCAAGGCGAGGTTCCCTCGGCGTGGGGTCAGGGACTACACCCGGGCATGGCTTTGGTTCTGGGACCGGGCGGAGTCAGCGTCGTACTGGCAGGCTGGGGTCTGGACACATGCTCTCACGCCTTGGGAGTATCCATTCCCCAGAAGAACTGAACCCGAAACCAAACGGGGACAAGCGGTCCGGACGCTGGCAGCCAGCGGCTCCCGGCATGCTCTGCGCGGCCTCGGGGGGAAGCTGGCAGGGCCACTGCCTCCAGGGGCTCCCAGTCTGCTCTGCGCGGCCGCAGGTAAAGGGGGTGGGATCACTGACTTCCGCGGCTCCCAGCATGCTCTGCGCGGCCGCAGGTAAACGGGGCGGGGACGCTGATTCCCATGGCCCTCTGCCCACGCCCCGCACTGCCGGCCGGGCCGGACTCTCAGCAGCTTCTCGGCCCCTTGGAGCCACAAAGCGGAGTACGGGTCACACGGTGCTCGGACTCGGCGTAGCCGGAGTCCGGCAGCCACCAGCTCGGCCGGAAGGTCGGGCAGGCCGCAGATTGCGTAGCGGGCCAGAGCGTCGGCTCGCGGGCGCCCCCGGTGGCCAGTCCGGGTTCGGGCCCGCGGCCGCGCCGCCGCATGCGCGCTCCCACCGAGGTGCTGCGCGAGTGAGAGGCCCAGAGAGCGAAGCTGCAGAGCTGGGCCGGCCTCGAACGTAAGAATCGGCCTGCACCCGCCGCCAGCCCTAATCCCTGCCAGGAATCTCGGATCCGCGCCAGGCGTGCGCCCTTCCTGGTGTCTGACGTGGAGTCTGGCTGCTGCAGTGCCCAGCGCCTTTTCCAGCCGTCCCCATGAAGGCTTCCGCTTAAGGGTTCCACCGTCTTCCACTCGTTACTTCTGAAACCAGACCCCCACCTTGCTGTGACTGTGGCTTCGGCCCCTCTCTAAGGCAGTCACAGAGGCATGGAAGGCAGGAGGGTAGTGTGAAAGGTCAGGGCCCAGGTCAGCCCAGGACACAGCCAGCCACTTCCTGTGACGCTCTTCAGTGTCTGATAACAGGACTAGGAAGGAGCGCCCTGCCTGACACGAGCCGCCCTGCCGAAGGAGGGGCCCACCTGCCTGTTCCCTGCCCAGAGCTGTGCCCTCTGGGGCTCCCGAGGCCCACGTGAGGCTGTTAAGTGTGGCCTGTGGTAAAAACTATCTCCAGAATGAACACTAAATGGCCCTTGGCCAGTCCCATCTCCAAGTCTGTGAGTCTCTAAAGCCAGCCCCGTCCTTGGGGGACCTGAGGGCACTGGACCCAATGCATTTTTCCAGCTATTGAGGCCTCTGAGGGGATTTCTTACCAGCTCAACAGATTCACAGGGCCCAGGTTTTCTCATCTATCAAACGGGGACTATCATGCCTGCCTCAAAAGGCCATCAGTGCAGAGTGAGTGACCCCCCACCCCCCGCAGTGTCCGCAGGTGGTAGGTGTTCGGCCCTGCTCTGCAGGCCAGGACACAGCACTCCCCACCGCCTTTCGGCCCTGCCCTGCCCTGCCCCTGCCTCCTCCAGCCCCAGCCCTCCCCTGGCAGTGTCCTCTCCCTCTGCCTCCCACTCCACCCAGCCCCGCTTCACACCACACCATGATACCAAGGGTGGTCTCTCTGGCCCCCCAGCAGGGGCACCACCTCTGCTGCCTCAGGTAAGAGAGAACCAAGACTTCCCCCCTGGGCTGTCAGTCACCCTGTCCAGCCAGCACCATGCTAGTTTAGCATTTCCCCGTGCCCTAGGGAAGAAGACATAGACTGCCCGGGAAAGAGAGCCAGGAAGGAGACAGCTCTCTGCGCCTTCCTCACGAAAGGCTGTGTTTCCTCGGGTGGGCCCAGTCCCCACCCCAATAGCTCTGGGGGCTTCCACAAAGGGGTGCAGGGCCTGGCTTTCCTCACACTCTGGACTCTCAGCCCATTTCTGTGTGATCATGACAGGCTCTGCCCCACAACCAGAGGCAGCAGGGACGACCTAGCCCACAGCAGTAGTTTAGGAGAGCAGGTGGGAGATGGCAGTGGCAGGCCCCTTGTCTGAAGATACCACTAGTGCCCGCTCAAGGACCCAGGCCTGCAAGAAGGGTAGGCAGGTCGGGGGACCACACGCTGCCTCCCCAGAGTCAGACTAACACACAGCTTTATTAGGGACCTGCAGACAGGCAGGGGCCCAGCCCCCGCAGGCAGCAAGAGCAAGTACAGTGGGCTCCAAAGGCGCCCAGGGCCCTGAGCACACAGTCCAGGGCGGCCAGCCTGGCCCCAGCTGGGGTGCTCAGGAGTACTCGAGGGTGAACTTGGCATGGAACCTGGTCAGCTTCTCCAGCAGCAGTCGCAGCTTCTCCAAGGGGGGCAGAATGGTCATCCTGAAAGGAGTGGACGATGAGTGAAGGGCTGGAGTGGTGGGACGGGCAGTGAGGGCCAGTGCTCACCGGAAGTGGTAGGTGCCTTCCCGCTGCCCAAAGCCGCTCCCAGGCACCACACAGATGCCGGTCTCCTCCAGGAGGCACAGGCAGAAGAACATGTCCGGGGCCAGGCCCAGCTCCTGGGGACAGGCAGGGTCAGGGAGGGATACCCAGCCCCCGCCGCCCAGCCCGAGGCCCTGCCCCGCCTGACCTGAGCAAGCTGCACCGCCCTCGGGGGCAGCTGAATGCGCGGGAAGGAGTACATGGCGCCCTGCACTGGGTTGCAGCTGATGCCGGGAGCCTCACTGAAGACCTGCTCGGTGAGCCTGGCCTTGGCCGCCAGCTCTGCCAGCACTGCCTGCCTCTCCTGTGGTCGCCAAGGGAGGGCCCATCAGGGCAGGGCACTTGGCATCCCCGGCCCGGCAGCCCACCCACATAAGGTCATCTGGACCTCCCTAGCTCCTGCAACTCACAGCCTGGAACTGCATGAAGGAGGGGTCGGTGGGTGCGGGCGGGCTGACCACCAGGTCCAGCAGGGCCTGGCCTGGCACCGGCGGGCACAGTCGCACGCTCATCAGCTTCAGCATCTGCTGCTGCACCGCAGGGTCCATGTTCACCACCTCCACGTAGCCGCCGCGGAACCCACACCTGCCAGGCAAGGGGCAGGTCCAGGCTTGGTGGGGAGGGGTGGCCCAGCGCGTGAGGTGGGCCAAGCCGTGCCACGGGAGCCCCAACCCGCCTTGCCTGCACGCACTCGCCCATGTAGCCCTTGGAGGTGGAGTGGAAGGAGGCGAGCTCCTGCTGCACGGCATAGGGCGGCCCCATCTCCATGAGCACCTTCTTGAAAGAGTGAAACTGTGAGCCTGCCGAGTACACATTGTCCTGGTACACCTGGAAGGGTGAGAGGTGTCACGGGGGGCCAGCTGCTGCCCTGTTTCCCACACCCCCGCGGCACGCACCTCGTCAGCCAGCAGAAAGAGCCGCTCTTGGAAGGCGAAGCGGATCACGTCCTCGATGCACTCACGGGTCTGCACCTGCCCTGGGGTGTGGGGGATGCATCAGGGCTGGGTGAGCCCAGGGAGGGAACTGTCCTCCAATGGGCAGCCAGGGGCCAACACAGGTGCAGGAGGAGCAGAGCGGGCAGAGTGAGGCGGGGAACGCACCGGTGGGGTTTCCGGGGTTGATGACACAGAGCGCGCGAGGGCAGCAGTGGTCACGCGCCTGGCACAGGGCACGGTGAAGCTCAGCCACGTCCAGCGCCCAGGCGCGCTCCTCCTCCAGGTAGTAATCCACCTGCACCGCGCCCAGCTCTGCCAGTGTGGCCGAGTAGAGTGGGTACTGGGGGATGGGGATGAGCACGCCTGTGCGCGTGTGGCCCTCACCAGCCACCAGCAGCTTCAGTACTGTCTGCAGGAAGGAGGGGAAGGCAGGGTTGGCAGGACCCAGGGCTGCACCCATCCCCCACCCTGGGTGCCCCCTCTGTAGTGTCAGACATGTCTTCCTGCCCAGGTCGGCCTACCACAATGGCATCGCTGGCCCCTGTGGACAGGAAGACGTTGTTGGGGTCAGCAGGGATGCCTCCGTCTCGCCTCTCAATGTACTGCGCCACGTCCTCCCGGATCAGCTGGATGCCGGAGCTGATGCTGTAGGCCCCTGAACCCAGGGGCAGAGCAGGATGGGAGGCACAGGTGACATTCTGTGCAGCCAGGCGAGGCACGGTGGCTCGTGCCTGTAATCCCAGCATTTTGGAAGGCCGAGGCGGGCAGACCACGAGGTCAGGAGATCAAGACCATCCTGGCCAACATGGTGAAACCCCGTCTCTACTAAAAATACAAAAATTAGCTGGGCATGGTGGAGCATGCCTGTAACCCCAGCTACTCAGGAGGCTGAGGCAGGAGAATCACTTGAACCAGGGAGTCGGAGGTTGCAGTGAGCCGAGATCACACCACTGCACTGCAGCCTGGGGACAGAGTGAGACTCCTCTTCCTCAAAAAAAAAAAAAAGTTCTCCTCAGCCCTCCCAAGGGACTTCCCTTCTTCAGTGGGCAGATCTGCCCTCTCTGCTTCCTCTGGCCCCGGCTCTCACCCAGGCTGTGGCCCCCGCATGCCTGCAGGATGCGTTCCGCCCTTTTCTTGGCATCATCAGGGAAGTTGGGGCTGTTCAGAAGATCAGGGTTGACACAGAGGGCCAGGACCTGGGAAGATGTAGTGCTGAGGCAGGGGCACATAGGCAGGCAGGGCGGGGGTGGTGTCAGGCAATGCAAGAGCCTCACCTGACGCAGGAAGGTGATGGGCCTCTGCCCCATAGCCTGTGCATCCCCGATGTTGGCACGGATGACCTCGGTGAAAGGCTTCTTCACACCCTGGGAGGAGACGGGAGGGCGGGAGGGGAGCAGACAGGGAGGCTGTGCTCTACCTTAACCCCTCAGCCCTGGTCCCATGTGTCAGTGGGGCTGGGCCAACCCGCCACCAGTGTGACATGGAGGGCAGCAAGGGGCCCTGGGCCATACCTGGCGCAGTTCCTGCTCCAGCTCCAAGGCTCGCTGCACTATGGGGCCACGCACTGCATACTCCACCCTCCGGACTCTCGGGTTCATGCTGTTCAGCGTCAGCACCTTCTCCCGAAGCCCGTTCCTTGCCACCTGGCTCTGGTCAACTGTGCTTGAGGCCATGACTCTACCCAGACCAGGCAGGAAGGCAGCTCAGGCAGTGGCAGGACCAGAAGTGGGAATGGAGACAGCTGGGTCCGGCTCAGTGGGCCAAGGCTGGGAGGGGGCAGCCGTAGCAGGGGGACTCTGGACAAGAGGGCACTCTCTTCACCGCAGCTGGCCCCACTGGTAGGGACAGCAAGGGCTGAAGGAGCTGGGGACTGTTGGGCCCCGCCCCACCCGTCTGGGCACAGCTCTGCCCCAGGGAGGCAGAGGCAGTGGGTGAGGCGGCAGGCGGGGCTTGGGGTGAGGCCCAGTGCCTGCCCAATGTCCCCAGAAAGGGAGAGTAGGAGACCCACATGGGGGGTAGGTACAGACGTCAGTCCTGACAGCGCTGAGGGACGAGGCATGGGGGGGAGGGGAAAAGGTGGAGGGCCTGAGTTGCTGAGGGGGTGAAATGAGTGCCTGGCAGCCCTAAGGGGCTGGCAGAGCTGGAAAGGAGGGACCCCCAAGGCAAGACTGGAGCCTGGGCTGCTGGGATTTACCCTAGCAGGACTTGGCTGAGGCCTAGCCCTTGTGGCACCCGAATCTTTGCTTGGGCCTGCGGACCTCCCCTAGTAACTGAGCCAGACCTCAGGAATCCAGGGGGTGCTAGGGGGAGGGGAGGCATGTTCGGGCTCTGGGTTCCCTCTGGCCTCTGCAGGGCTGGCAGCCATGGCCCGGAGGCAGCAAAAGCTGTATCTGGACCTTAGTCCCTGATGAGCCCTGTGAGGGGCTAGGGGAGGGGCTGGAGCCAGGCAGTCTAGCTCTGGGCCCTGTGACACCTCACACCGTGGCTGCTGTCATGCCCTTTTGCCAGGCACTAGCCTAGGGTTGCCCTTGGGACACACCCCAGGCTAGGGGTGACCTGAGTTCTCCGTCCCTCTTGTTCCCCATTGGAGGAGAGAGTAGGAAGCGAGTTGTCATAGGCCACCAGAGCCCCACCTCCACAGACCTGCAGAGCTGAAAGGCCACGCTCAATGCTGGCCCACCCCAGTGGCCCACAATGAAACCTGAACCACGGGGGTCAGGGAGTCGGCCCTCTGAGCAGGGCTGTGGGCAGCCGGTCAGGCCCAAGGCGGGCCTTGGCTCCTCTGATTCTGCTGGCCAGGGGAAAAGCTGTAAGGAACCCCGGACAGCTGGCCCCCAGGCCTCTCACCTTGCACTTCTCTGCTCCGCTGCCACAACGGCCTCCCCGGTGCAGGCCTGGCCCTCTGGCCTCCAGGCTGGAGCACAAGTTAATATGGGCCTGGCCTCAGGCAGAGCCAGCCCCTGCCCGCCCCCTGGCAGCAGAGCCCAAGTGGCAACCCTGGTGGCAGGTGGACCTTGGGCAGCTGCCCCACCCCCCACACTAAATTTAACCAGCAGCCAGCCCCCACCATCTTACAGCCTTGTGGGGACACCCTTCCAACCAGACATGCTCCAGGAAGGGCAGGCCCGAAGGACACTGGGCTCTCGGGCCCGTGCTGAGCCAGGAGGGAGAACAGGTCAAACCCACGCCACCCAGCACTGGTGCCACCCAAAGCCACCCACCAATAGACTAACTGGTGGTGTCCTCAGCCCTCCTGCTTGAGGCCCCTAGGGCCCCCCTCACCCTGATACGTTGTGCCCAGCCAGCTCAGAGCCAGAGTGGCCAACTGCATGTCCCCTATGCCAGCCCAGGCGGAAGCTGGCAGCCAGGCCCCAGGATCAGGGCTGCATGCCAGGAACTGGAGACCCACAACACCCCCCAGGCTGCATGCCAGGAACTGGGGACCCACAACACCCCCCGGGCTGCATGCCAGGAACTGGGGACCCACAACACCCCCCGGGCTGCATGCCAGGAACTGGGGACCCACAACCCCCCCAGGCTGCATGCCAGGAACTGGGGACCCACAACCCCCCTCCCCACCGAGGGAGCTTCTGATGCAGCCTCGTGCTTGTTTTGCCCCTCTGGCTCTAGAACAAGAGTCTGTGGAAAACACCACCTCCCTTTCCGGGCCATGGTCCCTGGGACTCCCACCCTCCGCCCACTTAGCATACACCCTCAGCCCTGGCCACCATGGAGGCTCCTTCAAAGCACCTTGCTCCTCTCAGGAAACCAAAGGGTTACGGAGGAGACTCCAGGAGGCTGAGCATGGGAAGGAGTGGGTGAGGTCCGGGCTTCTGGCCCAGTGGCCGTGGGCTTCACTCCCACACGGTTGGGGCTGCCACATGCCCCAGCATGCACCTACAGGCCTTGTGCTCACAGCACGGCTGGCAACCCAACCAAACAGCATAACCCACTCCCCACCATGGGGCCGTGGCCCAGCTGAGACACACAACAAGGCTCCATGGCAAACAGCCCTTTATCAACAGTCGCAGGATAAAAATAGTCTTTGCAGCCAGATGTCCCCAGGCATGTCTTCTGCCCTGAGAGGGGCCAGTGTCCTGCCCAGAAGCTGGGGCTCTGTGCTGCCCTCCTGCAGCACTGGACCATGTGCACCGTGGGGAGGCAGCCTTGGGCTGTGCCTGGGACAGGGACCCTGCACACTGAGCAATGGCCTCACATGAGCAGGCAGCATGGCCTCCTCTCCACAGGTGCCTCTACCGCTGGAGCCGTGAGCTTGAGCAGGGGTGGGTCCCCGCCTGCCCTGATGCCACAGTCAGGCTGGGGGGTCTCCATGTCACCAGGCAGGCCAGGCTCAGTGGCTTCGGAGCTCTCGGGCCCCTCAGGTGGGGTTCGTTGCAGCTTGGCAGCAGCTCGCTGGCGCTTCAGGTCAGCCAGGGTGTGGTGGGCCTTGTTGTGGACCAGGGCGTGGAGGGTGGCGCTGTCTGGGGGGCTCAGCTGGTAGGAGACAATCCGGTCTAGTCGCTTGGAGTACAGATGCCGGGCTGGCGAACCCCCTACTCGGCCATTGTGCGGCCTAGCCACTTCGGGGTTGTCGTCCTGCGGGCAGGGGCAGTGAAGGTCCCAGAGGCCACCAGGGGCTCCTCCCACTTCCCGGGCCTTGGATTCAGGCTGTATGGTCATGAAGGGTCAGAGAGGAGGTGGGGTAGCAGTTAGCCTCTGCAGGGCACCATCCCGAACAGGCAGGAGGCCCGCACACAAGCCAAGAGAGAACCAGGGCGGAGCCAGGCCCATCCCTGCGCTGGGCTGAGCAGGGACAGGTACTCACCTCTGGGGGCGGCGACCTGAGCTTAGGATCAGTCTGGCCGTCATCGTTGTCTTCGGGCGGCTCCGGACTGGTGGGCGGTGGCTGTTGCCACACGATGGCCTCCTGGGCGTGCTGCTTGCGGTACAGGTCCGTGCGCTGGGTCAGGCTCACCCGCCTCACCACCTTCCTGGGGAGAAGGGAGGAGAAGGAGGGTAAGGGGAAGGAGAGTGCCAGGAGAACCCTGCCTGCCCCTTTGGACTCTGCCTCCTTGGACTAGTTCGACTGGCACTCCGCCAGGGAGGCTGACGTCTTAGAGGACAGGCCTGGGGCGGGGCCTGCTGGGGGCGGTGCTCACCCGCGGCTGCCTGCGCTGGACGTGCGGCGGCGCAGCAAGGAGCGCTGGCGGCCCTGGGCGCGCAGGAGAGCATCATGCTTGTGCTTCAGCTCCAGCAGCTTGGCTCGCACCTCCTCGTCCCCGCACACATCTGAGAAGTGGGCGCAGGCGTCAGGGCGCTCTCCCTGCCTGTCCCCTCCCCCGGGTGGAGATGGGCCCCACAAGCTCACCAAGGGGTGTCTCGTCCATCAGGGACTTTGCGTTCAGGTCGGCCCCATGCGCCACTAGCAGCTCCACCAGGGGCACCTGTGGGCGGCCAGCAGGAGCTGGAGAAGGCTGAGCTTCCAGGAAGCCCCTTCCCGCCTGTTCTCGCCTGCACTCACCTGGCCCCAGTAGGCTGCAGCGTGCAGCGGCTCCCAGCCGTCTTGGTCCTTGGCGCTCAGGCTGGCTCGGTGCTCTAGCAGCAGGGCGGCCGCCTCGCTGAACCCGTTGGCTGCTGCGATGTGCAGCTGCAGGAAGCGCCCGGCCTGAATTCAGCCCCCTGCCCCCACTCCAAGTAGCAAGGCCCCCAGCCCCCTGCGCCTCTCACCCCCAGCCCTCACCAGTGTGGCCCCATGGTCCAGGGGGGCATGGAGGTCTGTCCCGGCCTGTAGCCGGCTCCGGATGTCGTCCAGCATGCGCAGTTCCGGCACGGCCCGGGCGGCCTCGATGCTGTCCTGGGTGATGCCTGTGAGGTGGCAGGCTCAGAAGGAGTGCGCCCGGGAGCCCTCCCACAGCCACAGCGCCGCACCTACCACGGTCGGCCATGGCAGTCTCCAGGCAGTCCAGCGTCTGCTCATCATCACACAGGTCATAAGGCATGTTCCCATCAGTGTTGACTGCCAGGAGATCGGCACCACTGCAAGGGAGATGCAGGGAGTGCTGGGCACAGGGCCCTTCCCCATGCGCCAGGCTCTTCACTTGGAGAGGTTCCCAGGGCTGCCCCTCAGGAGGCATGGGGCAGCCGTGGAGAAGGCACCCGGTCCACCTACTGCTGGGAGAGGTGGCCTTGGAGCCCATCGGCTGCCCCTTAGTCCTAGACAGGCCTTCTGCAGTCTGTACCCATCTGGCCTCCAGGTTCCTGGCACCTCCAGGGACAGCAGTGCCCACATAAATGGGCACTATGTGCCTGCCTGTTACGGGAGCAGGGACCCCAGGCACCCTAGTGAGCACAGAGTGGTGGGGGCACAGGACCAGGCCACCACACCAAGAGGGCTGCAGGAAACATGACCTAGGGAAGGAGGGTGGCAAACAGGAGCCCAGGACACTGAGGGCGTGCCCGTGTGCAGTAGAGGAACAGGCCTGTCTGTGCACACCCCACATCCCCACCTGCCCCATAGGGGCACTCGAGAATGACTGCAGCCCCCTGACCTTTCCCACTACAGAAACCTGGAGTGAAGGGGAAGGAAGCAAGGAGGCTTGTGGACCCTGGTGAGGCCACCACCCTCCCTGCTCTACCTCCCTCTGTGTTAAAGGTAAAGGCCCTACCTATGCCCATGTATCCTCTCCTCCCAAGCCACCTGGCTTCTTCACTTGCTTTCCCTCCTTACCAGTTTAGTCCTCCTCATTGACCAAAGTATTTCTCTGTGCACACCCTGTGGGGGCCCAAGGCCTGCCCTCTCTGCAGGATGACGCATGCTGGGTAGGCAACGCTGCCCTGGGCACATGCTCATTTCCCTGGGGCCCCAGGCCTTGCTCTCCATGCAGGACACAGGCAGGGTCAGCAAAGGTGAAGGCAGGAACACAGGAGGCTGAGAGCCAGGAATACTGCCCAAGAGGAGTCCCCCAAGCTGCCATCTGAGAGAAAGCCCCTCCCTGCCACAGGCACCCAGCCGGCCCTACCTGGAGATGAGCAGCTCCACCAGGTGCAGGTGGCCGCAGGTGGCCGCAGCATGCAGAGGTGTCCAGCACTCACTGTCGCAGGCATTGACACTGGCCCCTGACTCCAGGAGCTGCTGCACCATCTCTCGGAAGTCATCAATGCAGCACTGGAAACCATGCAGCATGAGCGGCCAGAGCGTTGGGGCCACCCCTGCCCCGCCCACACCCAGTGCGGGCTGACCTGGTGCAGGGCCGTCAAGCCATCCTCGTTGGCCAGGTCAGGACTGACCCCACTCCCAAGGAACTGGCGGACTGCAAAATGGTGGTGAGGTGAGGACAGGGTCCTGTCCCTGGTCAGGCCTGGGCCTAGAGTACTAGAGTCAACTGTGCTTCAGGCCAGGACTTGGGAAAGGACAAGGAAGACAGGGCAGGAGGCACACCAGATCCCAGGGGTGGGGGAAGGAACACCAGGCATCTGCTTGCCTCAGACCAGCTGCACTCCCAGAAGCTCTCTGCCTCCAACCACCTGCAGGCCCTTTGTGGACGTGCTCCAACCTCCCAACACCCAGAACAGGCCCTCCTCCGATGTGAGAAGAGCCCTCCCACAGTCCCACACCTCCCTTCCACCTGAGAAAGGCTACCACAGCCAGGCAGTGCCTTGGGCTGGGGAGGCATTATTCACATGAATTGGTAGCTCCCTCAGTATCTCCCCAACAACCAGCCCAGCCCTGTGTTCACCATCTCCCCCAGTCCTCCAGGACCTGACCCGAGGCTCCTCTCCCCTTCAGAGATCCCAGCTCAAGCCCAGGCTCTCGCTTGTCACCAGTGTCCTCCCTGACAGTGCCTGGGGTGCAGTAGGAGGGCTCCACGCCTTCCCATGGCTCCCTGTGGCACCATGACACCCTCTGCCTCTTCCCTCTGCCTCCTGTCCACATAGGAAGATGCAGGCCAGGAACTACCAGCTACTCCTTACTCTCTGCCCTGGAGGGAGGCAGGAAGGCATCTCAAAGGCCACCACAGTGCCTCTTCCTCCCAGACCCCACAGCACCAGAAGTGGAACCCACACAGCTGGGGCTGCAAGAAGCGTGGGACACAGGTGAGGAAGACAGTCAAAAGCAGAGCCTGGGGCAGGCATTGAGAGGGAGCCCACCAGCATGGGCTCTGTGCCTACCCAGGGCCTGGCTCTCTAACCCAGAGGCGGGTGGTACCACCCTACTTTATAGAGATGGAGACCAGGACTCTCCTGAGCATCCCAGCAGCCTTGCAAGAGGCAGTAATGACTACCGGCCACCCCTGCTCCTGCTGGACCCCACACTGGGTGCTTCTGCGGGCTCCTGGGGCTCCACCCCATGGCCTTGGCTCACCTCACAGCAGGACCCCCTCTGCATGCAGCCCCCACCTAAAAGACAGCTGTCCCAGCATGGGCTGACTTCAGGGCTGCCCACTGCTTGCCTGACAGGGGGACCCTGGGCCACCCAGCCTGAAGAGACCAGGCAAGATCTGGGGGCTGGAGCCCAGGAGCTGTGGATGGGCCCAGCCCCCAGCCTTGGCGTGAGATGGCACCTGGTGGCAGGGAGCAGGCTGCCTTCAGGGAGCTGCCCTGGGGCTCAACCACACTCACCTTCCTCTAGGTCATTTCGGGCAGCAGCCTCCAGAAAGACAACACTGGGAGGAAAGAGGACCTGCTTCCGGGGCCCTCGGTCAGTTGCCTCCTTCTGGGGGCGCTTCCCAGGACCTTTCTTGCCCTGGGCCTCCTTCTCAGCCTGGGCCCACATCTTCACCTGCTGGGCACGGCGCTTCTGGGCGTGCTTCAGCCGCTCCTGCGTGCTCATCCTGCCCACCATGGGCATCTCTGCCAGCAGCTCCAGGTGCTCGGCCATGGCGGGGGCTGATTGCCCACGGGGCTGCTCGGGGCACCAGAGTGGGGAGCTTGGGGGCCAGGCTGGGCCTGAGGGGTGGGGCAGCTGACTGGACTGACACTCTTGGGGGCATCCCCTTCCCAAAGCTCTGTGCTCTTGGCTGGGTCAGGAGGCCCCACACGATAACCAGGCCCAGGCAGCCCTGGGGATGTGGGTCAGGGCAGGGAGGGCAGCGTGGAAGGGCACCCCGAACCCGATCCCCAGGCTGGCCTCCAGCTGTCGACCAGCAGCGCCTCACCTCCCTCCAGGGGTCAGGGTGCACAGCCTGTGGGAAGCAGCCCCGAGACCTGGCTGGCCTCAGTCCAGGGTCTGAAGCTAATTACCCAGATAACAAAGTTCCAGCTTCCTGGCACCTTGCTGAGGGGGAAGGGAGGGCAGGGCCAATCAGCAGCGAGCCCCTGAGAGTCCCTGAGAGCCCTCTTTTCACCTTCTAGGCTCAGGAGTCTGGGTAGGGCCTGGGGGCAGCCATGGCCCAGCCCCGCAACACCTCCCAGCTGTGTCCCCTGTGTCCTGAGATCAGTGCTAATGAGGAGGCGCAGCCAGGGAGGCTTCGGGAGGGCAGGTGGTCAGAGTCCTGGAGTCCTGGCCCCAGGGTCCAGGGGTGAGGCTCTCAAGGCAGCCGGGGCACCAAGGGCACAGGGGGCCAGCCGACAGCGTCTTCATGAGCACCTCCTCTTCCGGCAGCTGCACACCTGGGAAGTGGGGAACAAGGAAGCACATTATCAAGGCCGGCTCGAGGCAGAGCGGCCCTGGGGGAGCACCTGTCCTGGGCCTCAGGTGAGACCAAGCTTCCAGCCGACTCAGGCACTGCCCTGTGTGAGGCTCACCCTCTGTCCAAAGAGAGCACTGCAGGGCAACAATCCTGGGGATACTGGGAGCTGCTCTGCCCCATCCTGCCCCACACTCAGAGGGGTGGGGAAAGGCATGTCAGTCTCCTCCCACCCACCCTTTCCAGAAAGGGCTGCCCATCCCAGCAAGGCAGTCACTGCTAGGCTGTTCCTCCAGGGCCAGACACTGCCCTCAGGCTGGGCAGGGCGAGTCTCCTGGGACACCCATGAGGGTTCTGCAGGCTACTGCCTTCAAGTGCAGGCCCTGCCTCCGGGGCCTCAGCCTGTCCTGACCAACACCCCAGCCTCTCACCGCCCAGCATCTACACCTCTTCCTTGCTGGGGTCCCACAATGCCTCAGCCATCCTGGGCTGCAATAAATGCCCCTACCGGCTGCCTGGCTTATGCGTATGGGGACAGGCAGGCAGGCAGCTTTGGCTGGGACACAACCCTGCCTGTGTACCTGCTATGGCCCTAGTCCTGCCCAATACACCAAGTGTGGGTGCTGGGCTGGCCATGGGCCGCACCTCAGAAAGTGCTCCGTCTTCTGCAGATGACTGCCAGGAGTCCCATTCTCCACCCAGCCAGGTCTCATTGCCATTCACACACAGACCCAACTCCATTGCTGGACCTGCAGCCAGGGGTTTCAGAGACTGCCCCCTTCTTTCAGGAAGGGGACTGTCCTGGGCCAGGTCAGATTAAGCCAGTCAGGTCCTTCCTGCTCAAGGGCCCCCAATTTATCTGGGAGCCCCACTTTACAGGTTTAGCCCACTGCAGACATATTCTCCCTCTGCGAGCCTGGCCTCAGAGGCTTCTTAAGGACATGGCCAATAAGGCCAGTAGCCCCAGCCTGGCTTGCTGTCTGCCAGGTAAAGCACTTTTCCAAGCAGTGACTCTCCCTCCGAGCAACCTGCTCCCAATCCTGGCCAGATCTGCAGACTACAGAGGCCAGGGCACATACGCACTGGCCAGACACCCTGCCCAGGCTCCCAGGTCCTCCCCTTGCCCTCTAGAGACACAGCATGGGTACCAGAGAGGTGGGAGAGCCAGTCCTGCATGCATCCTGCCAGCTCCCATCCATAAGGACTGGAGGCAGACCATATCTGGCATGGAGCCATCCCTCCCTGCCAGCCACCCACAGCCCACACCCTCTTCCCAACAGGGCTGGCAAAGTGAGATCCTCACCCCTCTGTCATTGGCATCTCTGGGCCTGCCAAGAACCCACCTGGGCAATAGCTACTCACCCAAACCCAAAGAGATCACAAGCCAAGAGCAAGGGAGGCTGCCCTTGCCCAGCCCCATCTGTCTCCAGCCACAGGAAGGTTTAACAGTCAGGGAACAGTGGCTCATGCCAGCACTTTGGGAGGCCAAGGTAGTAAGATCACGGGAACCCAGGAGTTGAAGACGAGCTTGGGCAAGAGAGTAAGACCCTGTCTCTACAAAATAATTTAAAAATTAGCTGGATATGGTGGTGTGTGCACCTGTGGTACCAGCTCATGGGGAGGTTCAGGTAGGAGGATCTCTTGAACCGGGGAGGTAGAGGCTACAGTGAGCTGAGATCAGACCACTGCACTCCAACCTGGGAAACAGCAAGATCCTGTCTCAAAAAAAAAAAAAAAAAAAAAAGATTTAACAGACATCACCTACAGTCCCCAGCATTTTATAGAAAAAAAGATGGGCCCGGCATGGTGGCACCTACCTGTAATCCCAACACTTTGTCGCCTGAGCAGAGGAGCTCAAGACCAGCCTGGGCAACAAAACGAGACCCCATCTCAAGTTATATTATTAAAAAATAATTAAAATAATATGAGAGAAAAAATAAATAAATAAATAAATAATGTAAGGAAAAGAGATGTTCTGATGCCTGTGTCCTACAGAAGAGAAAGTCTGAGCACAGCGGCTGTGCTTCTGACAGAAGGCCTGTCTCTCATTGGGGCGAATCTGTGAAAATTCGTCAGAGAACAGTATTTGGACAATGGGAGCCCCCGCCCCCAGCCCCTCTGGCTGCAGAGGGAAGCTCACAGGCTGGAAGGCTCTACCTCCCCCACCTCACCAAGGCTCACAGGGCACTTGGCCCCCACGCTGGCAGGCCCACCTTCCTAGCTAGAAGCTGCCCGAAGTCTCCGTGGGACCCTGGCCAGGTTTCTGCCCTGCTTAAGGGCCCAACTGTCTCCTCTAAGAGAAAAAGAGGTGCCCAAAGTGAGCCCAAGAAGTCCCAGGGCCCCCCACAGCGGGTACCCCATGCCAGGGGGTATCCCAGTGCCCAGCGCCCCTCAAACTGACCCTAAGCATCCGCCCCTCTGGCCTCCCTGCCCAGAAGCCAGCCTCAGAAGGAAGGGGCGGGCTGAAGGCACGCAGCAGTGGCCTGAGGGCTCCAGGAGGAAAGGCTGTCTCCTGCCTATCTGAATCTTGGTTGCCCCAGCTGAACTTCACCAAGCTTTGTCCACTCCTCCTTGCCATAAGACAGCCATGAACAGAACAGCCCAACAGAGCTGAGACGACTTGCCCCTTGGCTGAGCCATGAAGGCTGGGTGGCCGGCTCTGTAGTCCCAACAAATGGACACACCCAGGCTGAGGAGGCTGGTCAGCGTGGCTCCCTCTACTCCATAAACCTTTCCCCAAGCCTCCCTGGAATGTCAGATAACCTGGTCAGTTCATTCCAGTTCTCAGCTAAAAGACCAGACCAGCTACACATGAATGTGGGAACCAGGCGGGAGGAACTCCATGCAGGATCCTGGGCACTGTCCCCTCACAGCCTGCATACCCCTGGGCCACGTGGCTTCAGGAAGGGAGGCCCAGCAGGGCACAGAGGTGTAGGGAAAAGACCCCATAAGCCCTGAGGCAGGAGCAAAAAGCCTCAGACTATTTCTATATAAATAACGAAGAAGAAAGTAATTAAAAATATAAACGTAGTAGTTATTAGTTATTCGTAGGTGATATTAGTCATTCGTGGGTGATCTTAATTCCTTTACCAATGCCTCTCAGGTCGGAACTGTGAACCTGGGGTGACATTGTGAAATGAATGACACTAAGGCAGGCTGCTCTAAACCCTCTGTGACGCCCACGTAAGGGCTCCTGGAGGGCCTCGGCTGTGCGGCAGCGCCAGCGCTGGGAAAGCCCCGCTGTTTAGCCAGCTAGGGGAGGAGATGTCCAAGATGGCTGAGACGTCTCCTTCCTGGGGAAGTTAGGGGAAAACTCCGCTTCTCCAAGCTCTTGCACTAGGCCTGACGGCTGTCAGGGGACCACAGACCTCCGGGGCTCAACTCTCTCTGTGTGAGGCTGTGCCTCAGCGGTCACGTTCCAGGTCCACTCTCATGTTCTGCTTCTGCACCTGGGTGCTTTTTTCTTAGAAAAGATAATCAGTGACAGCCATATAAATCCTAATGTTTTTGTTCTTTCTTGATACATATGGAAAAAGTGCTGATGCCTTATGCTCCTTGCCTCACTTCGGGTGCCAAAAATCCCTGAGCTCCCACCTGTATGCCATGCCCTATTTTACCCTGCCTCCAGTCACCAACCACCAAGGCCACGCCCTACCTTCCCTGCCCCCAGATTTGCAATTCAATTATTGAGAGCATCCTGGCATTTGGGGGCCACTGCTTGTTTCCGCGATCTGGGTAGCAGTGGACCTCCGGCCCAAACTCTTTTTTGATCTCTGTGTCTTGTGCCTTTTATTTCTATAATTTCTTGTCTCCACACCAGCCAGGAGGGACACACAACCCTGTAGGGCTGGACCCTACACAGAGACCCAGCCAAACCTCCCAGTAGCCCCCATGAAGACAGCTTCAGGCCTGAGAGCCTCAGTGCCCTCTCTACAGCCATGAGCCTTGCCCTTCACCCCCTGCCATCATCCCCATCTTACACATGGGGAGACAGAGGCCAAGCTTAAACCCAGAGCTGGTCCAGTCACTACTTCACCACAGCCACCTCCCAGTGTCCCTGGTAAGGCAAGAGCCCAGAGCCTGAGGGGTGGTGTCACTCAATTCACCCAGAGATGGGGACAAGGGACAGGTAGAGGCCATATGCCATTCAGAGAAAGAAAAGAGAAGAAAGGGGCAGGGGAAGGAAGAGTCTCAGAGAAACTCTGAGAAGGGTGCAGAAAGAGGATGGGGAGCCACAAGCTTGCTTCTGCAGGCAGAGCAGAGGGCCGGAGATCTGCTGCAGGCTCCCACACTCACAGGTACACGGGTACAGTGCACGTGAGTAAGGCACACCTCCAAACGTAAAATCTGCACCTTCTGACAGCCCCACTTCTAGGACCCCACCCTACTAAAACCCCCAGGGCTAGTCAGCCACAGGGACTGAGGGTGTTGCAGAGGCCGAGAGAAGTGAGCCCGCCTGCCTTCTGGCCGTACATCACAGGGCGAAAGCCCCAGTGCCACAGTGCAGTGGGCAGCAACTGGGCAGTCGGTGCAGGAGCCCCAGTAGTGCCAGGTTGGCCCAGCACCCTGCACCGCCTGCCCGACAGCTGGTCCCAGGGGCTTTAGTCCCTGTTATGCTTAGGCTTGCTGGAATTGGTTTCTGTAACTTATAACCAAGAGACTTGGTTGTTTTATTGTTGTTTATTTTATCTTTTATTACTATTTTTTCAAGAGACAGGGTCTCTCGCTCTGTTGCCCAAGCTGTAGTGCAGTGGTGCAATCATGGCTAAGGCAATCTCCACCTCCCAAGGTCAAGCTATCCTCCCACCTTGGCCTCCCAGGCTGGGACCACAGGTGGGTACCACCACACCTGGCTAACTTTTTTGTTCTGTAGAGACAGTGTTTCCCTATGTTGCCTGGGCTGGTCTGGAACTCCTGGTCTTAAGTGATCTTTTTGCCTTCGCCTTCCAAAGTGCTGGGATTACAGGTATGAGCCACCACACCCAGCCAGATTTGATTTTATCTGTAGCAATATCTGAGATACAGGGCAAAAAAATGGGAAACTACCTAGATGCCCATCGTTCTGGGAAAAATAAATATGTAGCCAGTCTATAAAATAACATCTATACGGCTGGGCATGGAGGCTCACGCCTGTAATTCCTGCTTTGAGAGGGTGAGGTGGATGGATCACCTGAGATCGAGACCAGCCTGACCAACATGGAGAAATGTCGTCTCTACTAAAAATACAAAAATAACTGGGCATGGTTGCGCATGCCTGTAATCCAAGCTACTTGGGCAGCTGAGCCAGGAGAATTGCTTGAACCCGGTAGGCGAGGTTGTGGTGAGCCAAGATCACCCCACTGCCCTCCAGCCTGGGCAACAGAGCGAAACTCTGTCTCAAAAAAATAAATAACATCTATACATACACATTTGCTAACAAGAGTAGGTAGGTCTCAGTGCCCATGGGAGAAGGGCTATGACATGTTGGCAGTGGTGCAGAGGCTGCCAGAACCCCAGCGAAAGGTGTTACATACACAGACTTATTTATTTGATTCTGTTTTGTGTGTTTCTTTCTGAGGCAGGGTCTTGCTCTGTCCCAGGCTGGAGTGCAATGATGCAATCACCGCTCACTGCAACCTCAGCTTTCTGGGCTCCTGCCACCCTCCCACCTCAGCCTCCCCAGTAGCTGGGATTATAGGTCCATGCCACCACACCCAGCTAATTTGTTGTTGTCTTTGGGGTGTGTGTGTGTGTGTGTGTGTGTGTGTGTAGAGTTGGGGTCTCCCTATGTTGCCCAGATTGGTCTCAAACTTCTGGGCTGAAGCAATCCTCCTGCCTCAGCCACCCACTGTTGCGATTACAGGCATGCATCACCATCCCTGGCCAGACTTATTTGCATGGACAGAGAGGCTTTCTGGGGGTCAGTGACTGCAGTGCTAGACTCTCAAGACTGCTGACCTTCTGAGGGTGCAGCAGGCTATGCAGACATGCCTCACCTCAGCTATAACCCACCCCAGTGCTGGATGTCCTGCCAGAGTGACTGTTCACTGTTCACCTGGAGGGCTAGGTGAGAAGCTTCTCCAGCCAGATTGCTGGTCTCTCCCCGACCCCTGGCTGGGCAAACAGCACCTAACCTTTTTTGTTTTTTGAGATAGACTCTTGCTCTGTCATCCAGGCTGGAGTGCAGTGGTGTGATTTTTCGCTCACTGTAAACTCCACCTCCCAGGATCAAGCAATTCTCCTGCCTAAGCCTCCCAAGTAGCTGGGATTACGGGCGTGCACCACCACACTGGCTAATTTTTGTATTTTTAGCAGATACGGGGTTTCGCCATGTTGGCCAGGCTGGTCTGGAACTTCTGACCTCAGGTGATCTGCCTGCCTTGGCCTCCCAAAGTGCTGGGATTACAGGCGTGAGCCATCACGCCCAGCCCCAGCAGCTCACCTTTGAAGACTCAACCATTCACGTGCCTGACGGCACACTCTTGAGCCCTGCTGCCAACCCACAGCAGCATCCACACGTGGGTGTGTGTCCCGGCCAGTCTCTTCCACTAGATGACAGGCTTGCTGAGAGCAGAATCTGAAGGCCTCTCTTCTAGGACTCCTTGCCCGAATGCCAGCACCTGGAAAAGGGGCCTTCGTGAGTCTTTGTGAAGGACCGAGGGAGCCAGGCAGGTGCTGGCAAGGCAGGCACAGTTCAGTGTGGCTAAGGAGTAGACAAGCTCAGGCCCAAGGCTCCCTATGGCCCGCATGGTCCATTCTGAAAAGAAGCCAAATGCCTAGAGACCTCCCAAAACGTGACAAGGGCAGCACTAGCCACAAAGTGGGTTAATGACTGCTGGAGAGGAGGCTCCATTTGCGATGGTCTGGCTGTGTGTGGGAAGAGGCAGTGGAGGAGACCCTCCCCTTATGCAGCCTGTGCCTGTGGACTGGAGCTGAGCTACAGGTGTGCATCAGCACCTGCAGTTGGCACGGAAGGCATGGGGGCACCCAGGGCAGAAGAAGAGGCTCTGGAGGGGCCTCTGCAACCGCAGGAAGCTCTGGGAGGGAGGCCCCAGCAGTAAGTTTCCTACATACAGGGAATGAACTATTTCAAAGCAGCAGTTTCGGGGAACTGGTGGCTGGATGAGGGAGTGGTGATGGGGTCAGCAGGGAGGATATGAGTGTCCTCCAGGGCACAATGTGTACTCACCTTCTCCCAGCCCAACCCTAGGAAGTTCATCCCAAAGCACCTGCATGGGCATGAAATACTGCAGCCTAAGGCTCCTGGGTTCAAATGATTCTCCTGCCTCAGCCTCCTGAGTAGCTGGGATTACAGGTATGTGCCACAACACCCAGCTAATATTTGCATTTTTTTTTTTTTTTTTTTTTTTTTTTGAGACTGAGTTTCGCTCTTGTGACCCAGGCTAGAGTGCAATGGCGCAATCTCGGCTCACCTCAACCTCCGCCTCCTGGGTTCAGGCAATTCTCCTGCCTCAGCCTCCTGAGTAGCTGGGATTACAGGCACGTGCCACCATGCCCATCTAATTTTTTGTATTTTTAGTAGAGACGGGGTTTCACCATGTTGACCATGTTGGTCTCGATCTCTCGACCTCGTGATCCACCCGCCTCGGCCTCCCAAAGTGCTGGGATTACAGGCTTGAGCCACCGTGCCCGGCCTAATATTTGCATTTTTAGTACGGAGGGAGTTTTACCATGTCGGCAAGGCTGGTCTTGAACTCCGATCTTAGTTGATCTGCCCTCCTCAGCCTCCCAAAGTGCTGGGATTACAAGCATGTGCCACCATTCCCGGCCTCTTTCTCAGTGATCTCAACGCTCCTCAGACTCCCACTGCATGACACTTAGCAGCAGAGCCATATGACACTGAAACTATTCCACTATTTTTCATCTACAAACACAAAACATTATTTACCTCATTAACAGGTGCCTGGCTAAAGTGCTGTGAGGGAGGGCAGATCCGGTGATTGGGATGTTTGCACACATCATGCTTCCAGCCCAGGACTGCAGATGCCTATGGACCCACCAGGGACTGGCCCACTAACCGTGAGCTCTCACGCAACGTCTGTCCAGGGCTGGAAAATCAGGGAAGGCCTCTCCCCAGAAACTGATGGAAGCACTGCACCTCCCTCTTCAATTTCCTTTCCCCTAGCCACCTGGCTCCAAAATAAATCTAATAAACTAACTCACAGCAAGGTGTCAAAGGCCCAGATGCCTAAATGAAAGAAGCTGGCAGCCTGAGGCATCTGCATTTGAAAAGAGACTCAATGAGAAATTAAGATAAAAGCCAGCCCTAGACCAAAAGAGAGGGAAGAGAGCACAGGGAGGCCTTCCAGCTGCCCCTGCAGATCACACCTTTCTAGAAGCCAGGGCCATAAGCACCCTTCCCTGTGAACAGCCTCATTTAGCTTCATGGCTGTAACGGGCCACAACCCCCACTAAGCAGATATGGCAGCTAAGTTCTCTCAAGTACAATGGTGAGGAAACCAAAATAACAAAGTGAGCTTTGGAGGGGTCAGCACTGTACCCCGGGGTTTGCTCTGACTCAGCATTCACTCCCTGACAAAGACATGGACCCTCGGTCTGGTGGGGTGCTGGGGAGGGGACCTGCCTACAGGGTGTGCCTGTGGCACAGGGCCTGGAAGTATGGAAGGAGACACCACAGGGACCACGAGGGTCCCTAGCCTTAGAACAAGAGAAGTGTGGGGTCTAGACAACCGAGGGCACACAGGTGCCACGGTAAGCCACTGAGGCTCCTGTAAACTCAAGATAAGAGTGAGGAGGGCATCCCCAGGAGAGAGAGTTCACAGCCAGCTAGCACATTCCTGGGAGTTGGAAGGAAGAATGGCAGGAGCTGGCAGAGCAGAGAGATGAGCAGGGGAAGGTGGCCAAAGAAAAAGAAAACAGGGAAGGGCTGGACGTGGCGGCTCACACCTGTATCCCAACATTTGGGAGGCCAAAGCAGGAGTAATGCTTGAACTCAGGAGTTTGAGTCTGCAGTGAGTTCTGGTCACACCACTGCACCCCAGACTGAGCAACAGAGCAAGACTCTCTCCCTTTTTTTTTTTTTTTTGAGACAGAGTTTCGCTCCTGTTACCCAGGCTGGAGTGCAATGGCGCAATCTCGGCTCACCGCAACCTCCGCCTCCTGGGTTCAGGCAATTCTCCTACCTCAGCCTCCTGAGTAGCTGGGATTACAGGCACGCGCCACAGTGCCCAGCTAATTTTCTGAATTTTTAGTAGAGACGGGGTTTCACCATGTTGACCAGGATGGTCTCAATCTCTCGACCTCATGATCCACCCACCTCGGGCTCCCAAAGTGCTGGGATTACAGGCGTGAGCCACCACGCCCGGCAAGACTGTCTCCTAAAAAAAAAAAAAAAAAAAGAGGCTGGGCTTGATGGCTAATGCCTGTAATCCCAGCACTTTGGAAGGCAGTGGCCTGAAATAAAGAGTTAAAGACCAGCATGACTAATATGGTGAAACCCGTCTCTATAAAAATATAAAAATCAGCCAGTTGTGGCAGCACCTGTAGTCTCAGCTACTTGGAGGCTAAGGTAGGAGAATCACTTGAACCCAGGAAGCGGAGGTTGCAGTGAGCCGAGATCTCACCACTGCACTCCAGCATGGGTGACAGAGGGAGACTCCATCTCAAAAAAGAAATAGAGAAAGAGAGAGAGAGAGGAAAGAAGAAAGGAGAGAGAGAGAGAACGAAGAAAGAAAGAAAGGAGAGAAAGAGAAAGAGACAGAGAGAGAGAGAAGAAATAAAGAAAGAAAGAAAAAGTAAGAAAGAAAGAAAGAGAACAGAAGGACACAGCACATAGAATGACAAAGTTAAAAAACCCCGACATGATAAAGGAGACTGATGATGTATGAAACAGGAGGAAAGCCTTTGAACTTGAAGCTGGCCAAGAATATTATCTGCGGGAGGCAGGAGTTGGGACACTGGACCCACAGATGAGGAAACCTAATTGACACACACTGCCTTGCTCTGTAGATAGAAAGGCTGACATGTGAACTATGGTTACAGACAGAATGTAAGTCCAACAGCCACACAACGTAAAAATAAAGGCATATCCTACTTCTAGGTACATATGAAAAATAAATGAAAACTGGGCCAGGTGCAGTGGCTCACACCTGTAATTCCAGCACTTTGGGAGTTGAAGCGGGGGGGGGTGGATCACCTGAAGTCAGGAGTTCAAGGCCAGCCTGGTCAAAATGACAAAACCCCCATCTCTACTAAAAATGCAGAAAATTAGCCAGGCATGGTAGCACGTGCCTGTAGTCCCAGCTACTCGGGAGGCTGAGGCAGGGAGAATTGCTTGAACCTGGGAGGCAGAGGCTGTAGCGAGCCAAGATTATGCCACTGCACTCCACCCTGGGAAACAGAGTAAGACTCCATCTCAAAATAAATAAATAAATAAATATAAAAAATAAGAAAACTGGCCGGGAACAGTGGCTCATGCCTGTAATTCCAACACTTTGGGAGGTCGAGGCGGGCGAATCACAAGGTCAGGGGTTTGAGACCATCCTGACCAAGAGTGAAACCCTGTCTCTACAAAAAAAAATACAGAAAATTAGCTGGCCATGGTGCCTGTAATCCCAGCTATGTGGGAGGCTGAGGCAGGGGAATCACTTGAACCCGGGAGGCTGAGGTTGCAGTGAGCCGAGATGGTGCCACTGCACTCCAGCCTGGGCAACCGTGCAAGACACCATCTTAAAAAAAAAAGAAAAGAAAAGTACAAACTGGCCAGGAGCAGTCCTCACACCTGTAATCCAACACTTTCGGAGGCCAAGGTAGACACATCACTTGAGGTCAGGAGTTCGAGACTAGCCTGGACAACATGGTGAAACCCCATCTGTACTTAAAAAAAAAAAGTGAGTTGAGATCACACCACTGCACTCCAGCCTGGGCGACAGAGGGAAACTCCATTTCAAAAAAAAAAAGAAAAAGAGAATCAACTACGATTACACATAACCACCTGAATCTCAAAAACATTGTCATCTGGTGAAAGAAATCAGACCCAAAAGTATTCATTCCGTGACTTCACTGATGTGACTTTTTTTTTTTTTTAAGACGGAATCCCACTCTATCGCCTAAGCTGGAATGCATTGACAGGATCTCTGCAACTTCCGCCTCTTAGGTTTAAGTGATTCTCCTGCCTCAGGCTCCAGAGTAGCTGGGACTATACGTGTGTGTCACCACACCCAGCTAATTTTCTGTATTTTTAGTAGAGACGAGGTTTCACCATGTTAGCCAGGATGGTCTCAATCTCCTGACCTCGTGATCCACCTGCCTCGGCCTCCCAAAGCACTAGCATTACAGGCATGAGCCACCTCGCCTGGCCGTGTGAAATTATTAAAAAGGGACAACAAACCTATAGTAATAGAAAGCAGGCCCCTGTTGCTGGGCTGGGTGTGGCAAAGGGCTGACGATAGAGGAACTTTTATAACAGAACTTTTGGGGGTAATGAAAATGTTCTATATTTCGATTATAACTATGTTTACAAAACCCATCAAACTGTACTTTTTTTTTTCTGAGACGGAGTCTTGCTCTGTCGCCCAGGCTGGAGTGCAGTGGTGCAATCTCAGCACACTGCAACCTCCACCTCCTGGGTTCAAGTGAT